CCAGACTTGAAAGCCTTTTTGGGAATGTTTGTTGTGCGATCCCGCCCAGTCGAGAGCCATTTATAAGAACGTGTCACATAACTCTTTCCTCCTACTTGTTTACACGGTGCTGCAATAACAAGACGTTTTCATGTGTGGCTGCTGGGGACTGCAGAAGTAAAGGAATTCTTGACGTTTCTGAACTGCGGGCACCACCTCAGATATGATTTTTTTTTTTTTTTTTGAAAGTGACATGGAGTCCCAGTACTCTCCAATTGTTGCACTGTCCAACCGAATGTGCTGAGTGGCAGAATCCATTGATGGACACTTGAGCATTAAAGAATGCCGTCAAAGTAAAGGAGTCCTATAGCCTGCTGTCTCTGAGGCGGGCTTTCCCATCTCTCACCTCAGCCTCTCGGATCAGACTTTCTATTTGAAAGGATTTCCCTCCTAACGTTAAAAAAAACGCAATCGATTTGTGTTGCGGATCAGACTTTCTATTTGAAAGGATTTCCCTCCTCACGTTAAAAAAACGCAATCAATTTGTGTTTATGTGAATGTTTCAGCCAGCACTTGGCGCTCACCCTTGCCTGTGTTTACCCTGCAGTGCGCCCTCGCTTCACTCAGCCAGCCAAGATGAGGAAGCGCGTCATCGCCCGGCCAGTGGGCAGTTCCGTGCGCCTCAAATGCACGGCCAGCGGCAACCCTCGGCCCGACATTGTGTGGCTAAAGGACGGTCGGCCGCTGGCCCACGGCAATGACGAAAATGGCGGCGCGGAGGAGGACAGGAAGAAGAAGTGGACTCTGAGTCTCAAAAGCCTGACGCCGGAGCACAGCGGCAAGTACACGTGTCACGTGTCCAACCGAGCGGGACACATCAACGCAACCTACAAAGTGGAAGTCATACGTGAGTTCAACACGAGAGAATGTGTTGTTGTCATTCTTCCAAAGTGTGGCATGAATAGAAATCCATGTCTTATAGCTATCCATCTACTTACGTGTGTGTTTACATCTTGTTTTATGAAACATGAGAAGTGGAAGATAAAGCTCCAGATTTGTTTGCATGATTGCAATCGGATTTAAAGCGGATTGATTTTTGTTTGAGATCCACTTTTCACGTGTACTGTAACTAACTCAATACGTAATGTGTGTCCTGTATAAACATTTCATCATGCAACACATACCTTTCCTATGAGAGAAAAGATAGCGCCGTACATCCCTGACTATATGGTTGATATAAAAGCAGTTTGTCATGACAACTGAAAAGCAATGTTATTGTTGCGTGTGCATGTGGACAGAACGCACCAACTCCAAGCCAATCCTGACAGGCACTCACCCAGTCAACACGACGGTGGACTACGGTGGCAGCACGTCCTTCCAGTGCAAAGTGCGCAGCGATGTCAAGCCTGTCATCCAGTGGCTTAAGCGGGTGGAGGCCGGTGACGAGAGCAAGTTCAACTCCACACTCGAGGTACGGCGCTACCTCACAGCGTGTACCCCGGATAACTGCGGTATGGGGTGATATCGCAGCCATCTGATTGGACCTTTTGTCGTGACGACTTTTAGGAAGGATATCAAAGCCCGAATGGGTCATTTTGAATCAGATTCAATTGAACGTGAATGAAAATAGAGATAATGTAATAATTAAATTATACATACACATCCATACATGGGTTCGGGTCTCGCCGCCACAACAGGCACTGACGATCTTATAGCCGCAGCCTCAACAATGGAGGCAAAGAACCTCTCCACTGAGACTCCATGTCCCCCGCCTACCCCTGGACGTAGGTGAAATTCTGCTGGAGGTCGGACTTGTGACTCCTTCTGACAGGAGACTCTGCTCGATGTTCTCATGAGAACATCAGCCATAGTCTTTCGTGACTTTACCTTGAGGTCAGGATTAGACATTTGTAACTTGCTTCACTCAAAGTGACATTGCCAACTACTTGGAGTGGCATGCATGTGACAGTTTTTAACCCATTTCACATTGCATTGCTTCATGAATGTTTTGCTAAAAATGTCAGAGAAAGGAAACAAACAAAAAAAAAGACCCGTGTGATTACATATGTTTCCGAAGGGCTGAATGTATCTCATGCCGCTTGATGCTAACATTGCGTGTTTTCACTCAGGTGGGGGACCACCGCTATGTGGTCCTTCCCACGGGGGACGTTTGGTCGCGGCCCGACGGCTCGTACCTCAACAAGCTTCTGATCACTCGTGCTAAGAAGGAAGACGCTGGCATGTATATCTGCCTGGGCGCTAACACCATGGGCTACAGCTTCAGGAGCGCCTACCTTATTGTGCTGCCAGGTAACAATCCAAATCTTCTTCCATAATGCTCCGAGTCCAATATCTTCTGCCTGGGCAATGTCCGGCGAGTGACGTCTTTTACAGAGTGCCGAGTCGTCAGTCTATCCTGGTTCCAAACCCTAATCCAGCCTTGAAACCCCAATTTCTCAAAAGTCTAAAGAAGCCCTGCCCAAAAGACACAATTTGACTTATTTGTGTGACCACGGTTTTGATCTTGATTGTGTCCTTGCAGATGTGAAGCCCCAAAACAACTTAGTCTTGACAGCTGCCTCACCCAGCCTGCCTTGGCCCGTCATCATCGGGATACCGGCGGGCGTGGCCTTTGTCCTGGGTACTGCCCTCCTCTGGTTCTGCCAGTCCAAACGCACCTGCCCGTCATCATCCTCCTCTTCGTCTTCCTCGCAAGCCTCCTCTGCCCTCCCCGTCTCGCAACGGCTCCCGGTGGCGGGCCGCGAGCGCGCGTCCCCCGGCGCCGACAAGGATGGCCTGTCCTACGAGGACTACGTGGCCCACCAGAACCAGAACCAGCCGCTGACCTCCTCCAAGATCTACCCCAAAATCTACACACACGACATCCACACACACACGCACTCGCACGTGGACGGTAAAGTGCACCAACACCAGCACATTCACTACCAGTGTTAGCAACAAAGGGACAAATGACAGCCATGACACTTTAGTGCATTTTGGAACACAATGAAGAATGTAAAGAGAGATTTTTTTTTTTAAACAATCAAAAGTCCCTCAGAGTATTTTTTTAAGCTAACTATTGAGGAATAAACAGGCCCTCGTGTTCTGCCATTCAAAATAAATTGTGTCTCCTGTACATAGTCAGATACGATTATATAGCATTTAGCATGCTTCTTCACCCCCCGGGGTTTTTGTATAAAATGTACGGTAATAATGTGAGTGTAATGTTGTAGTTTCATGTCAGTGTAGTTCAAGAAACACACTAACCCGATTCGCGTCTCTGGGAGTAGGAGAAGGCGAGAAAAAAAAAGGCTGCTCAACACTGCAAAGCACTCTGTAAATATTTCATGAAATAGACCATCACAGTCACCATTATGTGCAATTATTTTAAAATACAGCCCACAAAGCCAGTTTCAGTAGGCATCGTGAAATTTGGTCGATCGTGAGTAGACCCACAAAAAGTCATGTCTAAAAAGAGACAGGAAGGACTGCAGGTAGACAAGTTTGATGACTCACTTTCACTATAGAATGCTGGGTTGGATTTTTTATTTTATTTTTTTTTTAGTTGGCTCCCTAATCCAGTTTCTTTAGATTTTTTGAAAACTCGCCACTGGCTTAAATTAGCACTCTTTATCAAGACGTTTTTTTTGTGGAGCTCATCTTGAGTGTCCCTAATGTTTTGACCACGGAATGCCTGCATTCACATTGGACATCACACTGCATCTCAAGTTTATACCAGTTAAAATCTGTGAAGCTATTTCGACAATTACAATACGTTGTTATTTTTGCCTGTGCTGTGTTGAAAGCTAACAGACTGCCGTCACTACAAACTAATATGTCTTAGCGCTGGTATGCATGTACATGAGAAAAAACAATTTTTTAAAGTCGTCGAATTCGTGACTAAAAAGAAAAAATTAAAAATGTTTCAAGATTGGGAGAAAACTGCATTTCTAATTTATTTTCTTTGGGGCATTATACTGCATAAATGTGCATATATATATATATATATATATATATATGCGCACAATGGTGTCATTGTAAAATAATGTTATTTATACCTGTTGGCAGATATATGTTATGTAAACTCGTATGGACAATCTTGTACAGTTGCTCTTTTATTGCATATAAATTGTTGCCATTACAAAATGTAATCTGTTGCATTCTTGATTTGAGTGTTAAATGTGGACTACAATCCGAATGGTATATAATTTATTATGATGGTTGACCTTCGACAGCATTTTGTTCAGATTTGCCCTCCATTTCCCAAACCCAGCTGTGAAACCGTAATTTCAAATTAATCTCTAAATTGAAACCCTACCATGACACACGAACACTGTTTTGAACCCTGACCTGGAAATCCTAACCGTAATTTGAAAGTCTGACTTCAAACTAACCCTGCCTTGAAACACTACTTTAAAATGCACACTCTATCTTGAAAACCTAACCCAGTCATGAATCCTTAACCATGTGAAACCCTAATTTGAAAATCCTAAATATCTTGAAACCCAATCCCAGGTTTGAACCAAGAACTTGAAATTCAAACTAGTTCTTATTTTGAAACCCATACACTGCTCTAAAATCTGACACTCCTACCCTATCTTGCAACCGTAACACCATTCTGAAGCCCTAAAACAGTTCTGAAAGCCCACTTTGAAACCCTCAACCTACCTTGAAACCCCGACACAACAGCCAAACTGTGTCTTGGCACTGTGGTTTATAACCCTAACCCTCGCTCTAGACCCAAATTTGACAATCTAACCTGTCTTGAAACCTTGCTTTGAAGTTCCAATTCTGACATGGAACTCAAATTCAAAACCTTAACGCAGCCATGAAACCTTAACCCTGTCTCTGAACCCCAACTTGAAACCGCAATCATGGATCGAACGCCTATTTTGCAACCCTTTTGGCACGTGTACTCTCACATGTTCTTTCCGTGACTTCCATCTTTCTCTGTGATATTGTCGCGCTCCAGATGAAAAACCCTTACATCATCTGCAGCCTGTCACTGACCATTAACGCACGTCACGCACAAATCAAAGGGGAACGTTGCTCCTCTCGTAGTGTTTTGCAAATCATTTTACGTCACATCTGCTCCCCGTCCTCATCGTACTCACATTCGACGTGAGGAAGAGGAAGACGAGGATCTGGCGCGAGGTAAGAACGTCAAAGGTTGTCGGCGCGTCGCCTGAGTCATGGCTCTGCATGCGACTTTTATGTCTTCCGCCGGGCTGGTTCTCTTCATCCTGCCGGAGGCGATTCGCAAAAGCTTCCGCGGTTGAAATGTGACTGCTGTTGGCTGTGTCGTCTTTTTGGAGAGCGTGACACCATCCAGGCGCAGTGCTGGAGTGGCTCCAGATGCTTCCACTGACCGTACGTTTGTGATTTTTCAAAAGACGAGGATCTTGTCTTCTAATGTAAGTGAGAAAAAACAAGCAACTTATCGACAGTCTGCTAAAATGAGGCAAATGTCCGGTTGTCTCCGAGGTGCAGTCCAAGCGAAAATACGCGCAATGATTGGCAGGCAGCAGTCTTGATGTCTTTGTTCATGTGCTTGTTGAAAACCCAGATCCAAACCCTAACCTGATAGCCTATCCTGGTTGCAAACCCTAAACCAGCCTTGAACCCCCAATTTTCAACTCTAACCCAGAAAGAAAAACCCTATCTGAAACCCTGAACCATGACTCGGACCCTTCATTTGACAACCTTGCTTGAGACCCTATTTTGAAGCCTCAATCCTAGTTTAATACCCAAAATATGTCTTCAAACCATACTTCGAAGCACTAACTCCAAACTTCATTAAAAACCCTAATTTGAAACCCTGACTGGAAAGCCTAAACCCATTTTAAAGATCCCTCTTTGAAAGCCTCACCCTGGATTGAAATCGCACTGTGAAACCTCCTGTTGAAACCGTTGCCCACTTAGATGGGGTGTCTGTAGTGTGTGAATTTGTGTGCTTGTGAAAACAAGCATGTGTGTGTGTGTGTGTGTGTGTATGTGTGTGTGTGTCGTCATGGAGGAGATTCTTGCATGTTTGAGTCAACAGCAGCTGTGCCCTCTGAAGAAGAGGAGCTGTCCAAAGAGCTTTTCACACCGAAGAAAAGGAACGTCGCTCAGGTGCTCAATGGAGGCAGCCACCATGATCACGCTCTCGCTCTCTCTCTCTCTCTCTCTCTCTCTCTCTCTCTCTCTCTCTCTCTCTCTCTCTCTCTCTCTCTTCTCTCTCTCTCTCTCTCACTCACTCACACACAAACACACACACCAGGAAGAATGACCTGAAAAGACACATCTAGTAAACCATGTAACTTGGTTGCGCGCGCGCACACACACACACACGCACGCACGCACGCACGCACGCACACACACACACACACACACACACACGCACACCTGGCTGCGGTTGGACTCAATCTTTCACTGGGCTAAAAAGCTGCCAATAAAATAGAAGCAGCAAAACAAAAACAACAAAAAAGCGGAGGCTTGCACCTCCACAGACTGTTTCCCTCCTCTTGGGTCTGCCTTGCATGCTACAACCCACCGCCTATGGGAAAGGCGAAGCTGGCAGAGGAAAGAACTTTATTCTGACACAGAGACGTGACAAAAGCCTCCTGAGCTCACAGTCTTGTCTTTCTAAACCTTAACACAAACACACGCGCGCGCACACACACACACACACACACATATGACAAAATTGTTGCTACCCCTCTCTTCAAGAAACAAAACCCCACAGCGGTCACAGAAATAACTCAAATCTGACAATAGTAATGAATACAAATGTAATGAAAATCAGACATTGCTTTTGAATTGTAGTTCAAACGAATTAGCTTGGAAAAGAAACTCATGAAACAGGCCTGAACAAAATGATGCTACCCTTAATAATATTTTGTTACACAACCTTTTGAGGCCATCACTGCAATCAAAGGCCTTTTGTAACTTTGAATGGACCTTGTGTTTCAGCTCCTTCCACAGATGTTCAACAGCATTTAGATCAAGGCTCATAGAAGGCAACTTCAGAATAGTCCGATGTTTTGCTCTCAGCCATTCTTGCGTGTTTTTAAGCCGTGTGTTTTCATTGTTTTGGGTCATTAGCCTGTTGCAAAACTCACAACCTGCAACTGGCGATCAAACCTTCTGACACTGGCAAGCACATTTATCTCTAGAATACCTTGATAGGCTGTGCCAGATGTAGCAAAGCAGTCCCAGAACATAACAGTGCCTCCTCCATGCTGCACAGTTGCATCGGGTTCTTTTCTTGCTGTGCTTCACATTTGCGCCTGTGAAAATAGAGCTAAAGTCCCTTGCCAGAAAGTTCCACCGATGTGGACCTTGACCTTGGAGTTCACCCTGACTTTCTGTCATGGTGGATCTGTTTGTGACCAACAGGTGGCACTGTAGGGCTCCTCCTACAGTGGCACACCTGTTGGTCATTATGTAATTAGTAATGTTCTGTTAAAAGGGCTCCCTGCCCAACCACTCAGGGTCGGCTCGTTGCTTGTGCTTGTGCTTACTGTCAAGGGTTTTTATTTGTTAGGTTGGTTTCTTTTTGGTTTCAGGACTTTGTTTTGGATCTAGTTTTCTTTTTATTAATACATTTTGTTAAGTCCACCCTGCTCCTCTCTCCTTTTTGGGGACCTCCATCACCACTTTCATGTCACTTTCGTTGGAGGTTTTTGGGGGGTCTTTTGCTACGATTTGTGTTGTACGTCTCTTCAATTTGTCATCAATTTATCTCCATAGTGTTGAGATTGGCTACATTCCCGTTGATCTTAAATTTCTTGAGAGATGCAACTGTAGTCACAGGAACATCAAGCTTCTTGGAGATGTTCTAGTAGCTTTTAGATTTAATATGCTAATTTATAATTTCCTTTCTAGTCTCCTGAGACAATTCTCCCATCTGATTCCTGTGCTCCATGTTTAGTTGGGTACACACCATGTCATCAAACAGCACAGTAACTACTTGTCGCTCTTAAAATAGGCCGCGAGACTGACGACAAGTTTTTTAGATACCTGTGATGTTAATTGTGGGATACACGTTGGTTGAACATGTCCATTCATCCATGCATCCATTCATCCGTCCATTTTCTAATCCGCTTCTCCTCACGAGGTTCGCAGGCGTATTGGAACCTGTCCCAGCTGTGATTGAACATGTCCCTATGGTCATATTATTTTGAATCGTTTCTCAGTGTACCATCATTGTTGCCCAGGCCTCTTTCTCGATTTAAAATAATAGTAATAATAATTCTGTTGAAACACAATCAAAAGCAACTGGTTAATTTCCATTAAACGTTTATTATTACTTTAGCCAAATTCACGTTATTACTGTGACCACTGTTTTTGTTTCAACATCAGACGGCTACAAACAATTTTGTTCATGTGTGCACACAAATACACTCACGCACGCACACACTCTGACTTGATATGAACAAGAATGTTTGTAAAAGGTGATAGTGTGTGTGATAAGGATGCGCGTGTGTGTGTGTGTGTGTGTGTTTCTGTGTGACAGGAAAAATAATCTCTCAGCAGCCACGCTGACATCACTCAAGTATGCGTCAGACACTTGGAGAGCGGGCCCCTCGAAAGACAACAGTCCGCCTGCTTGAGTTAATGTGTGTGAGTGCGTGTGTGTGCGTGTGTGTGTGTGTGTGTGTGTGTGTGTGTGTGTGTGTGTGTGTGTGTGTGTGTGTGTGTGTGTACACGCGCATTAGAGAGAGGGCCTACGGAAGTGCATATGTGTGTGTTCACATCCTCACCTGTTCCTCTTTGACTTGTCAACCTCCTTCATTCACCTATTTTCCACTTGAAAGCACACCGGTTTGTGTATATGGTTGAGTGTGTGTGTGTGTGTGTGTGTGTGTGTGTGTGTGTGTGTGTGTGTGTGTGTGTGTGTGTGTGTGTGTGTCCGTCCATCTTCTGGACACTCTTCAAAAGAAGCAGATGTGAATGTGAGCATCAAATTTTATCCCCAGTTTGGGTCGAAAACCCAAGGTCTGCTTTCATGATTGATGTGTGTGTGTGTGTGTGTGTGTGTGTGTGTGTGTGTGTGTGTGTGTGTGTGTGTGTGTGTGTGTGTGCGTGTGTGTGTGTGTATCGATATAAGAAGATAGCTTTCAGAGCCCTCGGTATATTCTGATAAATTCATGAGTCAAATAAAATACAATCACAAAACTAGTATTGTTAAGGGTGTAGACTTCAGTGCCACGTGGAGGAGACTACACATCCTGCAGGTCTCAAATGATGTACGATTCACCAATCCGATTATTGTGTATGTTGTGCCATGCTGTGCTGCGGAGGCTGTTGGCAAACAAGGTAGTTGCCTGCCGCCACATCGAAAAAGGTTCAATTGAGGTGCAGCACATTGTGACAGGAAGAGTGATTTCAGAGTGACAACTATGAGACATTTAAGTGGAGTTTTGCAAACTCATGGAAGAGAAAATTAGTTAGTATTTGCATTTGTGGGTGAACAACCACACACTTGGTGAATTTATCTCCTGAGTATTGTGCCAACTCTCTCCAACGGGCTGTCAAGATTGCTTCCTGCTCAGCCTGAAGAACATGTTGAACCAGTCTTAATGGAGTTTTGGCTCAGGGATGAGCCGAAACTCCGGCAGATCCTGCCAAATCATTAGAATTGGATTAGCCTATTCGCTTGTTTTAGCTGCTGCTCACCTCCTTCTCCTTCTATAAATAAAGCTAAGGCTGTCCGTCCGAACAGTCCAAACCAGCGCCAAAAGGCACCAGGCCACTTTCTGTTCAGTTACTTGGCAACCAGTGCCAGAAATGGCAAAGTAACATTATGTGTCAGTCCCCACTTTGGCAACTGTGTAAACCAAGTATAGTGTGTGAACCTTTAACCTTCAACTCGCTTACTTTGCAAAAGAAACCGAAGTCATGATAACAGTGTAATGACTGTTGTGCAATGATAAAGTATGCGGAACTATTTTTATTCGATTGCACAATATACTGCAATAATTGTCCCGTGGTAATGTTCTTGATATCATTTAAAAAGGTATTGCCATTCAGACAAACTGTTCTGGAAGTGAATTTCTATAGGTTGGCAGCTCTGCCATGTAAAATTAGACATCAGACATTCATTTGTTTGACTTGACCGGCAACCAGTTCAGTGTGTATCCCACCTCTTGCCTGAAGTCAGCTGGCATTGGGTACAGCACTCCTTGTTTGTATAACGAATGAATGTTTGTTTATTTTATCATTGGTAGACTTTGTTTTTTGTACTGTACTCATTTGATATTTACATCTTATTTTAAAGTACTAAATGATATCAGATTGAACGCTGATGTAGGTAAAGTGTCGGTGCTAGTCTTGATCTCACTGCAGCATTGGATACAATTGATCATAGATGTATATTGGTGAACAGATTGGAAATTTGGGAGGGATTAAAGGGAACAGTCCTAATACCATTCAGGTCCTACTGGTCGGAAAGGAATTACTTTTTGACCATTTAAAGCAGGGGCGCCCAAACTTTTTGGACCGAAGATCGAATTTTCGATCAACTAACCTCCCGCGATGGACCCGTTACTGCGCACGCACATACACACGCACGCCATGATAAGCAACAGCCTGACACGGAGGCATGCAACGCACTTTTGCAGCCTGTTAACTATTGTAGCTCAGACATACCGTTTTAAAGTGTTTCCCTCGGCCCTCTAGATTCCTATTCTTTGCCCGTGCACTCGGTGAATTGTACACGAAACAAACTCTGAATGAGAATAATGATAACAACAAAAGATATAGCGCAACAGCTCTGATCACAAGCTGCAATTGCAGACTGCTGAGTGCTAACAACTTCCGGTGACGCAGGTCATGCGCCACCATAGGTTCAAGATTTACCTGCTTTATTTTCATTCATTCATTCATTTTCTGAACCACTTAATGCTCACTAGGGTCGCGGGGGGTGCTGAAACCTATCTCAGCTGTCTTCGGGCAGTAGGTGGGGGACACCCTGAATCGGTTGCCAGCCAATCGCAGGGCACACAGAAACGAACAACCATTCGCGCCCACACTCACACCTAGGGACAATTTTGAGTGTTCAAACAGCCTGCCATGCATGTTTTTGGAATGTGGGAGGAAACTGGAGGACCCGGAGAAAACCCATGCAAGCACATGGAGAACATGCAAACTCCACACAGGAAGGCCGGAGCTAGAATTGAACACGGTATCTCTGCACTGTGAAGTCAACGTGCTAACCACTCGACTACCGGGCCGCCCCTGCTTTATTTTATTTTTTTAATACTTTTTTGTGAAAATGAGGCTGATAGGACGATTAGGGTGCAGCGTACATTAACACAGAAAATATATTACTAACACAAATGGTTGTTTGTTTGTTTTTTTTCTCCTTTACACCCCTTCCGATCGACTTGGGACCAGTCCGCGATCTACCGGTCGATCGCAATCGACATAATGGCACCCCTGATTTAAAGTTTTGAATCTAATCGAATGGCTATGACATGCGGGGTCCTTCAAGGGTCAGTCCTTGGACCCCTTTTGTTCAGTCTGTATGTCTATCATGTCTGTCGTCTGTGTGCCCCATGCGATTAATTTGTATTTTTTAATATTGGGTGTACTAAATGTTTTTATTCCCCAACTTTTTAAAGTTTATTATTTGTGTTTTAAAAAAGTAATTATGTGTATGTACATTGTGCTGAGTGATTTTAAACAACAAATATCACACACTCTTTCCGAAAACAAGCCCTAATTTAACTTGCATCAAAGTTCTCATCTTAACTATGAGGCTCATTAAAAAGTCTTCTGCACATTTAGCATATCAACCACAAAGTGGACAGTAAACACTCGACATGCTTGAAGTGTCAGAGCATAAATGTCTTCATCCTAAGACAAATATCTGTGCTGTGAAATCATTTGGGCCATGTCACGTCTTGCCCACACTGGGGGATTACGCTAACATACTCCCAACTCATAGTGTGACCAAGTGTGAAATCTGGATCACATTAAGGAGAGACAAGTTTCTCTCTGTCACACTTGACTGGAAGGAGGGATGCCTGTGTGTGTGTGTGTGTGTGTGTGTGTGTGTGTGTGTGTGTGTGTATGTGTGTGTGTGTGTGTCTGTGCGTGCGTGCGTGCGTGTGTGTGTGTGTGCACGCACGCACACGCTGTGGGAACACGGCGCTCAATAATTCCGACTGACAAGAGAATAGTTTTCTTTAGTTCTCTAAAGTGGGCCCGGCTCATTTGTACAGCCTGGAGCCATACAGAGGTGAAGTGTGTGTGTGTGTGTGTGTGTGTGTGTGTGTGTGTGTGTGTGTGTGTGTGTGTGCGTGTGTGGCATAGTCAGAGAGCGAGAGTGACAAGGCTTTTGTGTGAGAGGATCTACCATAGGTTTAGGAGTTTGGAAGAAAAAGAAAACAAGGGAAAAAACAGCGACCCTATTCGGACAAAAGTATTGCGACACATTTCTCAACAGATTCATCAATCAATCAGATATTGAAAGTGGGTCCTTAGTTGTTGATTTTTCTTCTCATCAATACTTGCTTGAACGGCATAATTGGATGAATTTTGTGTCGAAGAACAAACCAATGGAATGAACTAGAGTGGACACTCCCCGTAAATGCGCACTGATAGTTTACATAGTCTTCTCACATTTTTCTCAGACTTCACCCGATGGAGTGTATCATGATACGTTTGTCTGCATGTTGGCCAGTTCGAATAAAAGTGCCAGCTGGTCCACGCCAGTTGGTTTGCTCATTTTTCCCATTTGCTCACACCTGTTCACTTCCTCGAGAAAGTTTGTCCCGTTCTACCAAAAGTTGCTATTTTCTTCAAGGCATGCTGATTGGTTTACTTGTTTTTGGATGGGTCACACCTGTTATCAGCTTGAAATCTTTTACACCTAAGGCAGAACTCCAAATTTGCTTCCCTTTTCACTTTCTAAGGGCAGAATGACCACATATCGCATGTCATGATCTCCAGCTTTATATGTGCGCAGACAGGAGTGTATTGTAAATAAATGAGCCTTGCTGTGCCTTGGGGGAGTCACTCCTTGCTAAGTGGACCTTAAAAAACAGGAAACGGAACACGCAGGAGGAGGATCGGCCTGCTGACTCTCCACAATAGTCTTAATTTAGCTTCTCACGCACCCACACAGCAGCAATATGGCATGCACAGACCTGGAACACACATGCACACACACAGTCACACCTGAGCCTCCTTCAATAGATGCCATTCAGTTGGCTGACAAGCGAGGACAATGGAAGAAATGGGGGACGTGTCTGAGCACATGAATCTGCTGCCGCCATCATCTTTTCCTTCCTGCCCTGACTTTGGGTGATATCAACTTTCTATTTCGACACTTTTACTCTTTGCCGCCACTTGTACAACTGAGGTCATACACGCACACACACACAAACACAGAGTTGCGGGGCCTCCTTTGATGTGTCGGAGCCGTAAACTGCATTTATTGTTCATGTAATCCCAGTTTATATGCGTGAATAGAACAGGTGCAGGTGCTTTCCCTTTCTTCGAGAAAGTGGAAAAAGTCATCATAAGCACCCAGTTGGATATGCATGCACCTGGTTTTAGGTGGGAGGGTACACCTGGAAGGGCTTGGAAGACTGGAAAATGGGCGAATTCCAAGTGGACGCGTGTCCAAACGACACGTTGGGCGTCATCGGCGTTCTCGGGCAGTGTCTAGGAGGCCACAGAGTCAAGGTGAGATTGAACAGAAAACCCGGACCGTAATGGTTTCCCGACAAATAAACACACATAAATAAAATACTAAACTCAAAAACTGTCGATTTCTGATGTCATGACAACTAATCGAAGGCAATACAAGCGCCAGCACATCTGCAACGCTATGAAGCGTAACAGTGGTGACATTTGATTTTAATTTAATCCCACATGAAACATGAATCATAAAGTGGATATTGGTGACAATAGTAATAGTTCTGACACACGGATGGTGCATTTGTGACACATCATGGATGTAACGCTATCTTTAGCATCAAATTACGACATCGAGGAGGCACCGTCTTATTTCTCCTAAACATTTCCACCTCCTCCCTCCTTGATGGAATTTCTCGTGAAAGTGTATAGAGAGAAGCCATGATCTAGGAATGTGCAATTAGAGGAATGAGATGAGCCCATAGTCAATGCCATCCACTCGAAGCAACCCCGCAGCACATTTCCGTCAGTCGTCAGCAAAACAGGAGCCCGTCAGTGCCAAACTGAGAAGGTCCGTCGGTGCTGACATGGTTAGTGACGATTCTGGTGATGGTTGAAAACCCACTTCCGTTGATGCTTGGTCCGTCAGTGACATACTGACATACCTTCATTCAGTACTGATGGAATCCCCAACTCTGAGTAATAAAAAAGTGAGACGGAAGGACTCACCTGACTTTGGCCGAATATGTAGAGTGGTTGGCCATTTGGCTGGACTTCCTTTGAGAAATTGCGCCTGCAACAAAACACAGAGCATATAGCATGTATCATTACAGAATTTATAGCAGAAATTCAAAATATGTTTGTGAAACAGTGCAGTCAACTTGTAAAATGAATCAGGTAGCTGAGTGACGATCCACTCGTTAAATGCGAAAATGTCCACCCTGTCATTATCCATCCTGTCAGGAAGCTCACATATCTTGCTGTTTGGATGTAGTGGGGCCCTGAGATAAAGATTTTTGTGGTACAGATCAAGTTTTTTGAGGTACAGGCCGTTATTCACCAGAGCTTTTTCTTTTACTTGTGAGCGAAAACTTATACATAAGCATCAGATTGGCATTTCATCAAAACAGAGGCTTCAAGCTGTCTAATTGCATTTCAAAATTCAGTTTCTTTTCAAGATAAACATAAAACAAAGAGCATTCTATGTAAAAGAAACAATAATAAATGTCATATATTCTTTATCCTCTACAAAACCCACCAATATCACAGCATCTTTGAACAGACTATAGGGCCTTTGTGGACTCTCAATTTCCTTTCCTATCCTTAACCAAGAGAGATGAAGTGTGTGAAGGATAGGCTCATTCGAATTCTACTAATGTTTTGGAAAGGTGCTTGGATGTAACCTTTAAGCCCGCTTTAGCAAAGGTTATTCTTGACCAAACTTCACAAAAGGATATTACCCACAATTATTTACAGCCGCAACATTTAAAGCAGCAGCACACCAACATACTTTACAGACTATCTGAAGACACTCAAATTTCACACTTAGGACTTGAATAATTTAAAAAAAATTGTTTAAAAAAATAGTGATACAACTTTTTCGTGTTGTCACAAATGGATAGTCAATGAGGCCAAGAAATGTCTGTTCAGAGCAAAAAGAAAGAAGTCGTGGCTCCACATACATAAATAATATCAACACCTATAAACACCTTTCCATATTTGATCAGAGAATGGGCAATTCCAAAATCATTGAAAAACATCACCTGTGATGATTTCCACAAAAAACAATTTGAATTTGTATCTTTTTTATTTTATTATTAAGCTAATAATTTGCAGGTGAAGTCCGCAAACTAGAGACTCATGTCAGCAATACTCGCCATTGTGCGATGACGTCAGTTCGGGAAAGTGGAGTCGAATTCATTTGAAACAGTGCTGTCCTTTTCTATGTTGGAAAGGAAGCACCTTTTCATCTCTTCTCAACCCAATCACGTAATCCAACAAAGGTGAAGGAAAGGTAGCATTAAGGTTCAGAGATTGGACTTTCCAAAGAGGCCCCAGGCTAAACCTTTAAACGACATACCTGGGAAGCCATAACTGTGACTTTAAGCATGGTGGAACAGGAACAGTACTTACCCATGTGTCTGTCATGTGGAGGACTATTCAGTGACAACCTTGGGACTCTTGAACGCTGACACACACACACACACACACTCTCACACACACACACACACACACACACACACACACACACACACACACACACACACACACACACACACACACACACACGATGATAGAAATGTTAGCATGTCTCTTCAAGTCCGCGCAGTTTAAATGTGAATAATAAGCACTTACTTTTTGGAAAAAATTCACGTTGTCAAAACTGCCGAACATGAGAAACAATGTCAAGAACAAGAATAATTGCACACACACACACACACACACACACACACACACACACACACACACACACACACACACACACACACACA